CCCAAAGCCTTTGAATGACTTGTCACCCAGTCTAGGGGGAATTATTTGCAGGTGCTTCTGCTTTCCTGGATCCCTTTTCCATAATGTCTCTCCTCTCTTAGTCTAATCCATAGGGTCTCCAAATTTGGCCACTTTAAGACTTGTGGACTTCAACTCCCAGAATTCCCCAGCCAGCACATGGTCTAACCGGCAGTCCATCACAAGGTCCAACTGGCTGTAAAAAGAGACCCATCTGGAATCGTTCGCAAATGTTGGAAAATAAACCAATGGCTTGCACAAAAGTTAGCATCTCTTCCATTAGGATATTAAAGCTGGAATTAAAGCTGCAACAGTAGAGTGTACAATGGACCAGAACAAGACAGTTGTAGTTGACTGGAGACTGCGGTCTCTGCCTGAGGCAATCTGTGCTGTGATTGGTTGCTGTGGGTGGAGGGGGAGTTTCCCTTTTTCCCCGCCTTTTTCATCTGTGTGTGCTCTGCATGCTGTTCGATTTACCTCACAATTTACCTCAGGAACATCATGTCCCTTTTTTCTCTGCCCTTTTCATCTGTGTGTGCTCTGCATGCTGTTCGATTTACCTCACAATTTACCTCAGGAACACAGGAACACCGTTGTTCCTGAGGTAAATTGAACAGCATACAGAGCACACACAGATGAAAAAGGTGGGGGAAAGGGGACACAGTGTTCCTGTGTTCCTCACTATATTGCCTGCTGTAAATAGAAATGTCAAATATATTTATATAAAACTACACGTTTGTGTCAGTGTCTCCGACTTCATCTGGACAGCTGCTACGTGATTCCTCAACATCTATCCTACTGCTACTCCAGGACCGACTGCTGAAGGTTTATTTCCCCTTGAATGTTGCATCCTGCAAATGGGACCACCTGTCACTTAACTTGCAGAAAGATCAGCCCTGTGGAACCCACCTGTGCTCTAGATCAGGCATGTCAAACTGCCAGCCCGCCGGCCGGATGCGTCATACCGAAACCACGCCCACCCCATTGCCGGCAATGGGGAAAAAATTGTGATACATTGTGCAACATCACGTGATGTCACAAGTTTGACATGCCTGCTCGAGATAGACCTTGAGTTACAACCATACATTCATTGACCGTTCAGAGTTACAATGGCGCTGAACAAGTGACACTTATGCCTGATCCTCATAGTTCCAGCTGTTGCAGCATCCCCGCAGTCATGTGATTGTGATCTGGTTTGCGATTATGTCGAAAGAAGCCGAAATCGTGTGATTATGATTTCCGATGTTCTCTTTAAGACTGGCAGCGAACATCAGAACATGCTGGTCAGGGAATTCTGGGAATTGAAGTCCACGTGTCTTAAAGTTGCCAAGTTTGGAGACCCCTGGTTTACATCACTCCACCAAATTTTACCAATTTATAATTTTAAAACATTACTGTTCTTGCTAGAGCAGTGGTTCTCAACCTGTGGATCGGGACCCCATTTGGGGTCGAACGACCATTTCACGGGGGTTGCCAAACAACACAGTCCGCCATTTTTTCCCCCTTTTCCTTGGCTGTGCTACTCCCTTTTATTCTATTGGCTTTTGAAAGCCAATAGAATAGACTCTCTTGAATAGAGTCTAATTCTATTGGCTTTCAAAAGCCAATAGGAATTGTCCAGGCTGTCTCTGCCCTGCTGAGCCCGCCAAAAGTCCCATTCTGCAAACAGTGCTGCACCAGTTGAGTAGTCCTCGACTTACGACCGGTTGGGGGGTCGCGGCATTAAAAAGGTTGAGAACCACTGTGCTAGAGAATAAAATTCCATTTAAAGAAAACTACAAGCAAAACTGTACTCCTGAGATGGAATTGTTTCAGACCTGGGTTGTTGAAAGAAACATCTCAAATGGAGCCAGAGTTCCAACCTGCAGGCTTGTCCTCCTTATCGTTGCTTGTAACTTTCTTGTGGAATCTTACCATGTTTTACGGAAATTTTGATTAGCTGTTTTCATCGGGGTTGCGGATCAGTTTGGATCAAACTGCCTTTTTAAGCCAAACACCTTGTGACTCTGGGCAGCTTATTGCAGACCCTCGCAACAGAATAAAGAGAAGTGAGATTTATCTTGATATTTTACTAGAATCCTGGAAACGTTTTGGCCACCATGATACAAAAAGGATATTGAGAATCTATAAAGAGTGCAGAGAAGAGCAACAAAGATGATTTAAGGGGCTGGAGGAGAAAATATGCAAAGAACGGTTGGAGGAATTGGACATGACTTGTCTAACGAAGAGAAGGATTAGAGGTGACATGATAGCCATCTTCCAATACTGGAGGGGCTGCCACAAAAAAGAGAGGCTCAACCTATTCTCCAAAGCACTGGAAGGCAGGACAAGAAGCAACGAACGGAAGCTCATTAAAGAGAAATCCAACCGAGAATTAAGGAGAAATTTCATGACAGTGAGGACGATTAATCGGTGGAACGACTTGTCTTCAGAAGCTGTGGATGCTCCATTACTGGAGGTTTTAAAGAAGAGATGGGACAGCCGTTTGAATTGTACAGGTTCTTCTGCTTGAGCAAATGATTAGGGGACTGGAGGCTAAAACATATAAGGAACGGTTGCTGGAATTGGGGATGTCTAGTTTAACGAAGAGAAGGACGAGGGGGGACAGGATAGCAGTCTTTCAATATCTCAGGAGCTGCCCCAAAGAAGAGGGAGTCAAGCTATTCTCCAAAGCACCAGAAGGCAGGACAAGAAGCAACAGATGGAAACTCATCAAGGGGAGAAGCAACCTAGAACTAAGGAGAAACTTCCTGACAGTTACAACAATTAAGCAGAGGAACAACCTGCCTCCAGACGTGGTAAATGTTCCAACACTGGAGGTTTTTAAGAAGAGACTGGGCAGCCATTTGTCTGGAATGGTAGTGGGTCTCCTGCTTGAGCAGGGGGTTGGACTAGAAGACCTCCAAGGTCCTTTCCAACAGGATAATGATGATGATGATGATGATGATGTTCTTCTTCTTCTTCTTCTTCTTCTTCTTCTTCTTCTTCTTCTTCTTCTTCTTCTTCTTCTTCTTCTTCTTCTTCTTCTTCTTCTTCTTCCTTCTTCCTTCTTCTTCTTCTTCTTCTTCTTCTTCTTCTTCTTCTTCTTCTTCTTCTTCTTCTTCTTCTTCACCTCCAGTTCTGTTCTTCTCTTCTGTTCTGTTCCATTTTATTCCATTCCATTCCAGATAAAGGGAAAGTGTTCAAACATCTGTAACTGACTAGCTAGACCATAAAATTCCTGCCCCAGCGGGAGCCACCTTTACAATTTTCAGGCCAAGAAAATCCTCCATGAACCCAAGCTCGGAGCAATTCTTCATCTCGTCCCTCCTGCTTATCTCAGCACCGGCCAGACACTTGTAGGGGTCAAGAACACCCGGAGAACTTCCTCCTTGCCTAATGACTGGAAATGGCCTGAGTGCCTGGTGAAATGGAGCAAGGGATCGCCCACAGAGGTGTTCAGGAACAGAGCTCGGAACAAGCGGACCCACGGAGGAAAGGAACACTGAATGGACGAAGGAGGGGGAGTGGGCTTTGAGTCCCTTAAAGTGCGCCAGTTATAGCAATTCACATCGTTTGTCTTAACGCACCTCGTTATGCCAGCGGTGAAAAGCTAAATTAATTTAACATATATTTAGAAGCCTTAGCTGGATTACTGCAGATGCAACGGTACAGCCGGTACCGTTTCTGGATGGAAACGGAAGCTATGGCATCTGAACCCCACAAAATCAATTCTTCGTCATCTTGGAGTCTCAAGCCGATTCTCAAACAGGCACTCGTTTAAGAGAGAGTCTGTTCCATTGTTCAAGATATAATGATGGAGATTAGATTCCTAAACACGAGCAACACACAAAGCCGCAATTTTAATTATTTCCTACCTAAGAACTGTCCCGCTAAAATTCGGCAATCGGCTATAGTTGTTAACGAGTTAACTAAATGTGACCAGCCCTTTCATTTCGGCAACAGACATTCGGTTTATTCATTCGTTTCTAGCCCACTTTAATTATTTTTTTATGAACGACTCAGGGCTGCAAACATATGCTACATTCCTTCCTTCTCCTATTTTTCACAGTCACTTGACAGCGTGACTGGCCCCAACCTCATCTAGCTGGCTTTCATGCCTATGGTAGGACTAGAACTCAGGGTCTCTTCATTTCTGTTGTAGTTGTAGCACACTCTCATTTAATTTAGAAGTTCAGATCCTGAAAGTTGGAATTTGTGCACAGGCAGGGCTCAACTTAAAACCATTCATTTAGTGCCTGCTCAAAGTCACAACGGCGCTTATGACCTTTCGTCACTCTTATGACCATTGCAACATCTCTCGGTCACGTGATCAAAATTCAAACACTTGGCAACTGGCGTGTACTTAAGACAGCTGCAGCGTCCTGGGAACCAGTTTGCCAAGGTTTAATGCTCTGCGAAACAATGAGAAAGGGGATCTAGGTAGGACACAAAGTTGAGGGTGAGGGGTCCTTGGTGATCCCTGAACTTGTTGGGGTTTTTTTTGCAGACATTTCATTACCCAAATTAAGTAACATCGCCCGCGCTAGGCTTTGCATGGGTTTACAGAGAGCAAACCCTGCCTCCTTCCTCCTCCTGATGACGTTACCTAGCTGGGTCATGAAACATCTGCATGAAAACAACCAAGCTCAGACAGCACCAAGGTCCCCTCGGTTCAACCCTGGAGCTGAAGGTATTCCACTACAACAGGGGTCCCCAATCCCAGTACCAGGCCGCGGCATGCCAGCAATCGGTCCGCACAAACAAGCAAAGCCCCATCCGTAAGATGCAGGCAGCACACAAAAGCACGCCCCCTCCGGTCCGCGGGAAAACCTCTCTCCATGCAACCGGTCCCTAGTGCCCAAAAGGTTAGGGACCTCTGCACCACGAGATTAATTTCGAACTTTGGAGCAAGGGACACGGAACGTCAACCGCCTCCTAGGCAAAGCGACTGGTGGATAGCTGTGCATTCCTTGTGGATGCATCCATGGACAGACACTCACCTCCTCTGGCTTGGCTCCTGGTCACCACCTCCATGCTCCTGCTGGGAGGGCTGGATGTTTTGGAAAGCTTGTTAGCTGACACCCGGTACATGACCCCTTCGATACAGCGCAGTCCTTTGTTTCTCCATCGGTGCTGCACAGCCTGAGACTTGCTCCCGGGTGAAGAGTGGCGGGTGGAATTGGACGTGAGAGACCTGAAAAAGAGAAAACCGGAAAAGGACGTGGGACTCGTGATCGCAGCCAACAGATCCCGCTCGGACGGCCTAACAAAACCTAATGTAGGTCAGCAGCGGTTCACTAGGCCGTCGCCTAATTTGAAGAGGGACGTTCTCCAAATCGGACGCCATTTTCCATTCCAAAAGCAACCGGCACCCAGAAGCAAATTCCTGGATCCATAAGCATAGCGAAGTCCAGTTGGAAAGCAATTCAATCTGCTACAGCGAAATGGCGGTCAGGACATGAAGCAAATCGCACACGGTGACCATGAAGGACGGACAGGGAGAAAGCTAACCCACCAGATTGCAAGAAGACAAGCGAGAAGACAGACGAGGGGACCCAAACTCATTGATAGCCTCACGCTGCAACAATGACATACGTTCGGTTTTGCAGCTACTAAGATTGTTGGCTGAGCAGGTACAAAAATAGCCAGGGAAATAATGGAAGCCTGAAAACGGCCCGTCAGTCAACAGGAGTGCTGATTTACCACCAGCTTATTATACAATTGGGACAGCGCTTCCCAATTTTTTCTATACCCCGCACCTCTAGAACGCTTCTGATATATTCTTGAACCCCCCTTACAAAAGTTTGAAATAACGGCAACGAATTATTCACATACACTATAATTTCAAGACTTCTAAACCCAAGTTTGCACACCCACTGGAATATCGTCTTGCACCCCGGTTGGGAACCCCTGACTTAGGAGGGTTTGACACCACAAGGAAACCACAGCCAGCAACTTAGTAGCAAGCCATCAACACCCCAGTCAACATCTAAAAAGCCACATACAACAGGCACCATATCAACACCACACATAAATAGCCCAAAGCACACACGCTGCTAGAGAGAACTTCCCTAAAGATGGGCTCCAGCACAAATCCGAAAGCTCGGAAGACTAAACCTCTGGTCCTGGTGACCGACGCAGATTGGATCCTGCCTATCCCAAACTCTGCTTTTCTGTTCTGTTCCTGCTCCTGTCCTATTTTAAATTTCTACAACTACCCATCTCAGCCAAGTGACTCTGGGCAGGCTACAATTCTATCTGCTTCCTTTATGTAATCCATTTCTCTTCCAGGTCTTTCCTGACCTTGACAAGAACAAGTGGCTACAGGTTTTAGCTGCTCTCCCCCTCCCACTTCCCCCTGGTATCTAGTGATCCTCCTTCATTTACTCTGGATGGGGTGCCACTGCCCGAGACCACGTTGGTGTACAATCTGGGGCTCCTCCTGCACGTTGGCTTTTGCTCAAGGAGAAGATGGCAGCTGTGGACAGAAAGAGCTTTGCACAAATGGCAATAGCAGACCCGCTTCCCAGTGCTTGTACAGCCCTCTCTAAGAAGTTTACAGAGTCAGCCTCTTGCCCCCAACAATCTGGGTCCTTATTTTACCGACCTCGGAAGGACGGAAGGCTGAGTCAACCTTGAGCCCTGGCAGTGGGCAGAGTTGGCCTACAATGCTGCATTCTAACCATTGTGTGGATGGATGGATGGATGGATGGAAGGAAGGAAGGAAGGAAGGAAGGAAGGAAGGAAGGAAGGGGAACAGGAAGAACAATAGCAATAGCACTTAGACTTATATACTGCTTTACAGCCCTCTCTCAACAGTTTACAGAGTCAGCCTCTTGCCCCCAACAATCTGGGTCCTCATTTTAGCAACCTCGGAAGGACGGAAGGCTGAGTCAACCTTGAGCCGGTCAGGATCGAACTTCTGGCAGTGGGCAGAGTTAGCCCTACAATGCTGCCACAAATGCATTTTGAGTGCCAAGCTGCACCCACCTCTACTTTGGGAAGTGCTGCTCATCGTCATCGTGCCCTAATCACTTCCTGACTGGACCTTTGCAAAATGAACTTCTTCTTCTTCTTCTAGTGCCATATCCATTATCAAACGTTGGCGATCATGTTGGCAATCCTGTTTTTATCAGCAGCTGCATGAAAAAGTGCTGCTGAGTTTTATCCAAACTGGTCCCTGAGATTTTGAAGCCACAATGTTCTTCTTCTGCCTGGACCTCGTTTGCCTTCCGTCTTTCCCTGGAGGATTAAATGGAGTATGCCGTATTTTCTGGATGTTGCATCACCGGTCCGAAATATTCTAATTTTCGTTTTTTAATTGTTTTGGTGATTTCCCTGGGCTTTCCCAGGTGGCTTATCCCCTCCTCATTTCTGATCTTGTCAACCCAGCTTCTGCGTAACATCCGCCTGTCAGTCCACATTTCAAATGCTTCTAGTCTCTTCAGGTGGCCCTGTGTCAAATTGCAAATTCCACAACCAGATTCCAAACTGGTCAGGGAAACGCGTCTATCACAGGACGATTGAGGATGCTATGCAAGATTTAGGGTGCTATGCAATGCCACATGAGTTGGCCATAAAAATAACAGTCCAGGAACAAATCCTGACTATTCTACAGGTCAGTTTTTGCTGTACTGGTTGTCTTCGACATATAACCATATAACCATTCATTTAGTGACCGTTCAAAGTTGGAAAAAGGGACTTGCGGCCGTTTTACACATTTACAACAGGGGCAGCCTCCCCGTGGACACGGGATCCAAATTCAGACACTTGGCACAACTGACTTCTACATTGATGACGGTCGCAGTGTCCTGAGGTCGTGGGATCTCCATTTGCGACCTTCCCGGCCGGCTTCCGACATGCAAAGTCAACTGCCTTGCTTAGCAACGGAAATTCGAGGGCTCGGTCTTGGTCTTGAGCCGAGGACTAACTGTGCTGCAATGCAAGAGGTCAGGGAGGAGGGGAAGGCTGGAGAGGGGGAAGGGAAGGGATCTAGACTAAGCAGAAACCCAGGAAGTGTACTGTAAATGATCCCTTTGGAGGCCGAAGACTCTTCCTGGACAAGGAAAGGAGGGAGCTGACGCTGAATGCTTCCGTTCCCAGGGAAGTGGGGAGAGATCAAGGGGAAATAACAAACATCTGCAATGCAGATGCTAAAAGAGGGGGGAAAGCCCCACACAAGAGCAGCTGCTGAGAAGGTGGGGAGAGCCACAGCTGGCAACATTGCAAGAGACACCAGCAACAAAGGGAAACCCACAGGCTAGGGAAACACTGCAAACCCAGGCCAGATCCTGGACCCGTGGTGGCGAACCTATGGCACGCATGCCACAGGTGGCACGCAGAGCCCTCTCTGTGGACACGTGCGCCGTCGCCCCAGTCCTCGGCCTTTTTGCTTTTAGGCCTCCGCTGCCGTGTGCAAAAAAAAAAGGTTCAATCAATCAATTTATTTCCACTTCTCGGGGGGGGGGGGAGATCTCGCATAGTTGGAATTGATTGATTGAACTTTTTAATCCCATCCAGTCTGCTGTTACCACTGCAGCCACGCCCACCCAATGGGCCACACCCACCCAATGGGCCACACCTACCCAATGGGCCACACCCACCCAATGGGCCACACCCACCCGGCACCCGACGATACATAAATGGGTTTTGGGTTGCAGTTTGGGCACTCAGTCTCTAAAAGGTTAGCCGTCACTAGACTCAAACTGGAGTCCAAGATATCTCCAGCTGAGCCCACAGCTGGACTGTGAAAGGTCCAGAGAAGCCGTGGCTAGCTGACATTCACAGCTGGATGAAGGATTTTGGGAGTTGGGGTCCAAAAGTTGTCAAGGGGCCATAGCTGCCCACCCCTGACCCAGGGTGGAGTTTGGAGGGAGGAGGGAGGAGGAGGAGGAGGAGGAGGGAGAACGACTTTGGGGTCCCTCATGCTCTCTGTGCTTGGTTGTTTTCTTGCAGACGTTTCATGACCCAGCTAGGTAACATCATCAGTGCTGGTCTCTTAAATAATCCAAAAATTTGGTCTTTGCAGTTTGACCCATTTGTTATTATTATTTCCTGAAGACCATCATTATGAAACTCAACAAGATGCAGATCCTGCCTCGTTGGCTCTCTCAAAACTTCCTGGGGTGGGACTTCTTTCTCGCCCTGCCAGTCTCTCCATATCCCCACCTCCCCCCCCCATAAGGCAGGGTTTGACCTGGTTGGTGGGCCTGCTCTCCTGGCTGAGACCCTCCAGGAATTCTGGACGGAGGTCCCCAAGTTGCCCAAATAGGTTGAGCTGCTCAACGTACTTCAAGCCTTGCTGGCTTTCCTCTCTAGAACTCGGCCCTTCCAACTCTGACTTTCTGCGGAGTACCGGAAGTACAGAGAGGACCCCTCCCCACCCCCATCGGGCAGCCTTTAATTCCCTTTTCACGCCTTCTCCACCTGCTTCTAGACCCCTGTTGAGATTAAGGGCAGCTGGAGTTGACAGCCTCTCAGGCCCCGGCAATCTTTTCCTACAGACCCAGGAAATTAAACGCCCGGCTGGTTGAGTCGGAGACTTTATAATAATAGGAGTAAAGTTGGAAGGGACCTTGGAGGTCATCAAGTCCAACCCCCTGCTCAGGCAGGAGACCCTAGACCATCCTAAACAAAGGGCTGTCCAGTCTCTTCTTAAAAGCTTCCAGTGTTGGAGCATTCACCGCTTCTGGAGGCAGATTGTTCCACTGGTTAAATTGTTCTCACTGTCAGGAAGTTTCTCCTTAGTTCCAGGTTGCTTCTCTCCTTGATGAGTTTCCATCCGTTGCTTCTTGTCCTGCCTTCGGGCACTTTGGAGAACAGCTTGACTCCCTCTTCTTTGGGGTAGCCCCTGAGATACTGGAACACTGCCCCTTGTCCTTCTCTTCATTAAACTAGACATGCCCAATTCCAGCAACCGTTCCTTATATGTTTTACCCTCCAGTCCCCTGATCATCTTTGTTGCTCTTCTCTGCACTCTTTCTAGAGTCTCAGCATCTTTTTTACATCACGGTGACCAAAACTAGATGCAGGATTCCAAGTGTGGCCTTACCAAGGCCTTGTAAAGAGGTGTTAATACCACTTTACAATGCCTTGGTTAGGCCACACTTTCATGCTACGGAGGTTCAATGCTCAGATGGGAATGAAAAAAGGAGGCCCTGTCGTCAAAACATAATAAATAGATCTGCTAATTAG